GACCCGACTCATAGAGACCCCTCCTTGGGTTTCTGAGGTGGTATCACTACAGAAGTATATTGCCCAACCTTCCTTCTGAGCAGTGGCTGGTGGGTTTGAACCACCAGCCTCTGGGTAGCAGTCAAGTGACTTAGGCACTAAGCTCCCAGAGCTCCTAGACTCTCTTAATAAGTAATTTAAAAAATTAACTCTTTTTCTATTCAAGTGGATGCTTCTTCTTATTATTATTTTAATGACATTTGCTGTTCAGTTTTCAACAGTGCTAAGTATCTGAATCTAAGTCAGAAGGGAGTTGAGTTGGCTTATTGAAAAGCTTTCCCTGAATGCTTTGATGGGAAGTGGTGTGTATGTGAGTTTTTAATGAACTCTTTAACCACTTGTTGTAATTTTAATTTAACACACTTGGTATGAAAATCTTGTGTTTCCATCTGAACATTTTGGAAACACTGCTTAAAAGATAAATGTTGCTACCATTTGAACTAAAGAAAAAATATGAAATACTGATTCTTTGATTATACCCATCAAGCTGGGTGAGGGGCGTGATGTAAATAGCTTGGTGTTCTGTATTCCATTGCAGTGCTCATAGGCTCTGAGAGGAATAGCATCTTGGAACCCCTGTAGAGCTCCATATGAGACTATGAAAGACAATGGGATTTGGATCTAGGGTAACTTTAACATCAAGATTTTGCTTAAAAATCTTAAAAAAATCTTCCCTAATAGATTACTTTTTGATCTTTGTGCTTTCAGAGCAATAAACTAGAAGAGAAAAAGAGACTTGAAGAAAATCTCAGAAGAGAAACATTTAGAGATCATCAGCAATAGTAAGTTCATCTTTTCAGAACTTCTTGCCTTTATAGGCCTGTTGTTCATCTACTTTTGTATTCTAGGTGATGGCAACTTTTCAAAATGGTGTCTGATATTGGATTATTGACTGTTATATTAATTATGTAATTGAGCACTGCCATTACCTAAGGAAGGTTCTGAGGTTGGAGACATATATTCTCACCAAAGTATTCTTTATTAGTCAATCAGTTAGAGTCTATACTGCTAAATTTGAAGAATCCTCCATTATAAATGACTAAGAGGGTTTGATTCTTTGATGATCCTGGGCATTTCAGATTAGTTATGTTGACTTCCAAAATACCAATCTAAGAAAACCAAACCAAGCAGAGTCTAAACTAACAAAGGAGTTATTTTATGGATTTAGAACTATTAAATAATTGTCATACTTTTGTAGATTGAGAATTGAGAAATTGTTAGCAGTTACTGTCAAAAGTGCCAACTGGTTGTCACACACAATGGTAATTTGTGAGCAGTGTGACTTGTGAATAATATCAGCTAATATGAGTGGGATAGTGATTGTTATTGTTAGCTGCTGTGGAGTCTGCCCCTGAGTCATAGTGACCCCATGCACAGTGGAACGAAATGCTGCCTGGTCTGTGCTATCCCCATGATCAGTTGATCATCAAACCATTGTGATCCATAGAGTTTTCATTGACTGATTTTTGGTAGTAGACAGCCAGGCCTTTCTTCCTAATCTACCATAGTCTGGAAGTTTAATTGAAATCTGTTTACTATCATGGCAATATGCAAGCCTCCATTGACAGATGTGTGGTGGCTGCACATGAGATGCATTGGCTGGGAATTGAACTTGGGTCTTCTACTTGGAAGGTGAGAATTCTACATTGAACAGCTAATGTCCCACAAAGAGCAACTACTATGTGCTTTATAATGAAGATTATCTACTCTGCTTTTATATAGGCTTTAAAGATAAGTTTGTGTCCTCAGTCTTGATAGGTAGGTTGTGTGCACACTGCTGAAAAGAATAAATAAAAAAACAAAGAACCTGGCTCCTGTATTAATCCCAAATATAGTGGCAATAGATTTGGACAGATCTGGGTTCACAGTTCCAGCTTCATTCCCCAGTTTGTGCCATTGGACAAACTACTAAACCTCTTTAAGCCTCAGCTTTTTCATTTTAAAAATAGGGCTAATGGTATCTATTCCTTAGTTCATTTATAGGAGCTCTGGTGGTGTAATGCCTAAGGCATTTGACTGCTAACCAGAAGCCTAGTGGTTCAAACCCACCAGCCACTCCTTGGAAGTAAGATTGGGCAATCTGCTTCCGTAGTGGTTTTTTTGGCTTGGTTAGTTCATTTGTAAAGATTAATTGACATAACTTATGTAAATGGCATAAGAGTCCCTGAACATTAAAGGATTTGGAATGATACTTCCCACAGAAGACCGTGTTGAATGTGATCACACAACTTGTATTTTGTAGAGACTATACACAATTTTTCTGGTACAGAACTAGAAGTTGGCTTTCCTGTTTCATATAAACTGTTTTCAGACTACTTCCTCTTCTCTTTTCCCATTTTCGCTTCTCATTTTCAGAATTTAAGATCACTCTGAAATTGGAGTGAGCATATGTGACATCCTAGTGTGTTTTCTTCCTCCAAGAAAGCATCCTCTGGTGTTTTTATACCACTGAAATTACCCTGCCTCTATCATAAGCAGCTTCTTCTTGCTTTAAGACTCAGAAGCTAGAAAGGAAAAAGAAGTTTCTGAGTCTTTTACTTTGCCCCTTAACACTTTAGGTACTTTGGCACTAGCTAATCAATACAGAAAACAGGTGGAAGATGGGATGGGGTAAGATGGAAATGCTAACAAGTGATGTCATTCCCCTTAAGTAAAGTTGACAATACTCTCATTTTAGCTATAGAATCCATAGCCTGTCTCTCCTCACTCTTCTTCTAAGGCAGGCATAGGGATAAGGAGGTTGGTGGGAAGGTAAAAACCAGGAGAACTTGACAGTCTTGAAGAACAAGATGGCAGATAAGTGGTGCATATGCATTATTACCTCCTTCTTCATGAAGAGCCACTATATTTCTGTCAGTTTGTTATATTATGATGGCTTGTGTGTTGCTATGATGTTGGAAGCTGTGCCACTGGTATTTCAAATACCAATAGGGGCACCCATTGTAGACAGGTGTTCTGGTGCCACTCTGACAAGAATATACCACAAATGGGATGATCTTAACAAACAGGAGTTTATTCTTACAATTTGGAGGCTTTAAGTCCAAGTTCAAAGTGCCAAGCTCTAGGGGCTGAGTAAAAGTCCCTCAACCTTGGGGTCCAGCTCTGCCTCCTGCTCCCAGCCCACTGGAGCTAGAGGGATTTCTTCACTCAGATAGCTGCTGGCTGCTGAGGCTGAGAAGCCCCAAGGTTGACAAGTAAAAAGGCACAGTCCGATGTTACCAAACCACATGGCAGGCCATTAACTTAAGTTCATTGTAAGTCCCAAGGTCGGCAGAGCATAGCAGGCTGTTGAGCAATGACACGGCTACATGCAGGGTCCAAGCGTGCCATGCATGGGCTAAAGACCGTTCCCAAGGCTTCTCCTTAAACACAGGAAGCAGACCACATCCCAAAGGCATCTACTCAGCTGCTTGTGGTAGATCCCACAAATGGCAGTGCATTTGGGATTTGATGGAGTTGATTGCCAGTCTCATCATGGGGAATAACTACCACCAGCTGCCCAGCGACTCAACCAGGCCCAGCAAAGTTGACACAAAAACATAACCACCATAACAGATTTCAGTGGAGCTTCCTGACTAAAACAGACTAGAAAGGTCTGTTGATCTACTTCTGAAAGTACTTTCATATGTCATTGAAAATCTTATGTATCACAACAGAACATTGTACAACTTGCCTACTTTGGACATGTTATCAGGAGGGATCAGTCGCTGGAGGAGGACATCAGGTTTGATAAAATGGAGGACATGTGAGGACATGGGTGACCCTAAGTGAGATGGATTGGTACAATAACCACTTGAACATCCTGCTGATTGTGAGGATGATGCAGGACTAGGCATTATATTGTTCTTTTACACATAAAGTCACCATGAGTTGTGGTCAACTTGGTAGCAGAGAACAACAGCAATAATCATGGGTAGAGAATGGATGAGAGCTTTTTTCTAGGTCCATGTGGAGGAGTTGAGGGATGTAAGAGAATGGGATGGGGGCATTAGTAGCCTAGAGTGACAAATGAGAATGAACATATTTATGCTGTGGTAAGCTAGTTTTCGGGAGCTCTGGTGGTGTAGTGCCTAATGCATTTGACTGCTAACCAGAAGGCTGGCAGTTCAAACCCCCAGCAACTCCTTGGAAGGAAGATTGGGCAATCAACTTCCATAGAGATACTGCCTTGGAAACCCAAGGAGGGGTCTCTATGTGTTGAGATTGACTCAATGGCAGCGCATTTGGGATTTTTTTTTGTA